TGTTGGAGCACTCTTTCCTGGTTCGTCTCAAACCACGAGATTCGGCAAACGCTTGAAACAGGCACTATTTCAAGACAATCCGGTCGGCAGCAGTGAGATTGGAACTCATTCGATTCGCAAGGGAGCGGCCACATTTGTGTCTTCCGGTAGCACGGGTGGCCCTTCACTTGTCAGCATCTGTCTTCGTTGTGGCTGGTCGCTTGGCAGCGTGTTTGAGAGGCACATGCATTATGAGCGAGCTGGAGACCAGTTTGGTGCCTGGGTTGTTGCTGGGTTGCCACTGAACCAAGCCAACTTTGCAGTCCTGCCACCCCATTTTGTCGACAACAACAGTGTCGTGGTCGCCGCCGCGCTTGACGTCACTTTCCCAGCGTTTGCCAAGGTCGCATCAATGCGTGGCACCCTGGCTCATGGACTGGTTTCGCTCGTGCACCACTTCGCCTATGTAGTAGACAACCTACCTGCCAAATACATCATCTTTGGCTCGCCCATCTTTCGCCATCCACTCATGCTTGAAGCGCTGAAAGTCCAGCTCGCAGGAACAACCTCATGACTCCAATCTTCCGGCACCCCACCGTACATTGAAGTCTACTGACTTCTCGAGCGCCAAAAACCTGCCATCGATGCCATACCAAAAAATCATTGTCGACCAAGTGCGGGACATGCTGGACGAGCGCGACGTGGGGCGCGGCGCAATCACCAGTGTGATGATCAAGCAAACCATCGTTGACGCGCTACAAGGACTCGGTGTTGGTCAGCAGTTAGATGATCACGGGCCTCTGCTTGATGGCGTACAAGGTCAGCGGGTAACATACTTGCATTTGTGCGGCGGTCGAATGCACAAGCTTCCAGAAGAATTTGAGTTCTCCCAGGCCGACACAGCGACAGCGTGGGCACTTTGGTGGCTTGGCAACCATCGATTGAAAGAAGTCCCGTACAACGCCATTGACTCGCGTGACCTCAGCACCAAGAAGCAGCAGCGAATTCTCTCGGAATGGAAGCTGGTCATGGTGGAGCTGTCAGATCGATTCATGGAGAGTTGTGAGAGTGGCCTACCTGCAAGTTGGAATGAACGCAACGTTGTCGAATCGTGCGAAGTCGCCGTTCGTGGCTTGCATGTGCTCCTTTCAATCACGCCTCTCGAACGCCAGCGTCGATTTGGTCAGCTGAAAGTTGAGACGGTTTCATTCGTCAACGTCGTGGTGCAAAAAAAAACGACCCTATCAAAAAAGAAAGCGTTGTGAAGCTCCTCGGACGATTTAACATGCAATTCGAATGTACTGTACTTGGTCGCCACGTCGTTGCTGATATTGGTTTAAGGTACTTGATAAACTCTGATTGGGCCACATTTGTTCGATAACGTCCAATTACCATGAGTACGTCGGCTGGCCTACATTTGCTGATCACGACGCAGTGTCGATTGCTCTCCGGAATGACATATCACTCACAAGACCAAGTGAATAAAAAATTCATTTTCAAAATTTCGTGAGAGAAATATAATTGCTTGTGAAATGATGAAAGAAGGCATCAATGATACAAGTATCGCCTACTTGAACGCTGTCGAAGTGAAAGGAATGCAGCGCACGATGCGCCTGGACAGGCCACTTTTGTCCCCACCAGTTCGACCAATGATGAGCAGCCACAGACTTTTCAATGCTAGAGAAATGAGCTGGAAAGACCACTTGGCGCCAGAGGAGTGCAGAGTTTCATCATATCTACTCCGGAGTAAAAAGGCCAATTCACACAAAATTAGTTCAAATCAAAATTTGGAAAAATGGGCTCAAATTATGAAAGGAGACGGCGAAAGTTACGCGGAATTTGGTTTACGATGAGAGTACCAGACCCCTCGACGCCGTTTAGATCGTGCCCGACACGATCCCTGGTCGAGCGATGGCCACGCCCTTGGCTGACTTGAGCCAGCACGTCCCGCCGTTGTAGTCGCTCCACGAGTACGCCTTGCAGCCAGCCGTCGCCTTGCAGTCGGCACAGCATCCAGACGCATTCGATTGCGAAGACGACCCGATGTCGTTGCCAAAGTAGTCGACATCTTGGACGAGCGGACTGCAAGCGGTGTTGCGGACGGCGGCTTTCGCGCCGGCTAGGAAAGACTTGGGCCCGACCTGGTGCTTCAGCCAACAAGTCCCGCCGTTGTAGTCGGTCCAGACAAAGAGCTTGCAGCCAGC